TTAAAGACATGCGCGCGAGGGTGATAAACTAATAATTTTTTTATTGGGCCTAACTATCTGAATTGCTTAGGTGGCCTACTTAGTATATTTAAGCATGTTAAGTAAGTTAGTTCATTTGAAAATTATTACAAGAATTTTTTTTGCCAAACTATGAATCCGTTCCTTTGTTTTGCTAGATCCATAGAATTACAAGTAGTCGAAATTAATATGATTTTCGTAGTAAATAAAAAATATACCTGTGTGTTTGGCTTTTCCTTATTTGAAGTTAATAACTATTATCCCATTCTTTAATCAATCCATTGTTTTAACTTTTAAGAGGTTCCCATATCTTATGTTTACCGGTAATTAGTTAAGTGATACCGTCGTTGATATTTTCCATGGTGGATCAATGTTGTTATCATTTAACTTTTTTTTTACTTTATAATTTAACGTTTTATGATTTGATGTTTGTTTTATTTGTTTTTAGTATGTGATCATGCATCAAGAAATATATTTGTATTTTTAATCTGTGAACAAACAACCGGAATTTCGAATCTTCCATTTTACTTTGTTTGACAATAAAGATTAAATTGAACTGATTTGTTAATCAAGGAATAAAACGTACCGTATATGTGTTGTAGCTGCTATGAATATGCTCCTTTAAAGTTACCGGTACCATTGCCGGTAGCAATACATTCAATAATGAATATGAATATATAAAAGAACGGTAAATATTACTTTAATGATATCGGTGTCTAATTTATATAAATTAATTCACAATTCACCTTTTATTTCGCATCATTTTCATAGATAGATACGGTACAACGAACCGAAACTCGGATCGCGTTTCCGACGCTGAACGGCAGCGTCCCTATTCTAACACACTGATTCGGTTTTCTGATCGGTTCGGTAGGTTTTTTCCGATCCGAAAATTCGAATTCGGTGTGAGTGCAGCTTTATTCACTCATTGACTTACTTAATTATGATGAAAATATAACCACCTACAATGGCGTGTGTCTGTTTCCATTTTATTGCATTTATTAACTTTATATTCCGACATCGACAATAGCCACGTATCAGTGAATGCATGCCTGACACCAGTGTGTTCGCTTCACTTGAAGGCTGTTACAACTATTGAAGGAATCGGAAGCACAAAGACAAAACTGCATCCTGTTCAAGTAAGACGTATACAATTATATTATTATAAATTGATAATTATGATGATGATCATGATGATGGTGAATGGTGATGGTGGTTCTGATAATTATATTGGTGATGACGATTACGATAATTATGCTGATGGTGATAATGACAATGGTGGTGTTGGATTATAATGGTTGTTATAATGATATTGATATTGGTGCTAATAATGATATAGTGATAATAATAATATAATATTTATATTATAATAATAATTCTGGATTTATATAGCGTTTCCCGTTGACACAACCTCGAAGCGTTTGAACATTATTACCCCCGGATCAAGCACATATGGAACACACACTCAAGCCCCATAGGGGAATTCCATAATGTTGCAGCTGTATTCAGCGCAGGCTGTGTTTGAACCTATCAGGTACCCACTTGTACTCCTGGGTGGAGAGAGACAACCGTAGATAAAATGCCTTGCCCAAAGACACAAGCGACTTGCGCCAACCACTTCTAATTAAAATATTATATATTTATATTTATTACTATTATAATAATGTTAATTATTTTTTTTATATTATTATAGTACCTATTGTTATTGTTTAATTATTAGTAGTATCAATTATTGTTAACATGTACGTTAAATGCTCGTAAAAATCAATGATTTTAAATAAACCTTTATTTCGAAAATATGCCAATGTATTTTGTCATGTTTTAACAATTATATTTATCTTAATGTTTACAGGAACGAATTGCAAAATCACACGGATCACAATGTGGTTTTTGCACACCTGGAATTGTTATGTCTATGTACACGTTGCTACGAAACAACCAATTGCCAAGCATGGAAGACATCGAAACCACATTACAAGGAAACCTCTGCCGGTGCACAGGCTATCGTCCTATACTCGAAGGCTTTAAAACTTTCACAAAAAAGGCAGGTATCTTTTGGAATGAATGACTTAT